TAAAGTAGTGATTTAAAAAATATATTTTTTTAAAACATTAATAATAATTGGTTAAAATTTTGTTGAGTGGTAAAAATAATTGAAAGCACTTTTAAAGTTTTAAAATAATTATTGATTATTATTGGAGTTAATTAATGAAAATTGAAGAAGTGAATTTATAATATTTTATAAGACCACGTTGAATATTATATTATATTTTTATTTATAAAATATTGTTGGATTTACTTCTAATTTTGTTTATGGACGTAATTATAACAAATCCTAACGATTCACGAGCAATTCGTATTATATTATCATTAAATGAAAAGGGGTCGAATTTATGGTAGCAATTTTCTCCACTTGGGCATCGTTCATTTGGATGGTGGTTCTAGATTTAAAACGTGATACTCGAGTAAAGAAAAGATACATGAATGAACCTAGACCACACTCCTGAAAATATGATAGCTAAGAAAATGTACCTTTCTTCTTGGTGGCTTAATTGTAGAAACTTTATGGTCAGACGTGCTTTACTTGGAGCAAATCTATGTTATAAACGTGTCGTATTAGAATTTTGTTAACATTTGGTAACAAATGAGGGCGTTTTTAGTTGATGTAGCGGAAGTGTAAGGCATGTCATAAGAGGGCTAGTTGATGACAATGACTTAAGATATTGAGGACCCAAAATGGGTGGTGGTTCGAAGCGAATAGAACCAACAAAGAAAAAGAAAAAGAAGAGAGATTCCACTTTGGAGGATTGATAGTGAATGGAAATAGAATAGGTGAGTATATGAGCCACGTGGTGTGTTTTGATTGGTAGCAAAGGAGATAGGTTTTCCATCCCTTTCACAAATAGAATCTAATTATGATATCTTGGTTTTGGGTTTCATTCTTCTCAATTGTGTGTAAGAAAATCAAACCAAAATATCTTTGCTTTTTGAGTTTGCATCTCCAAATTTAGAAAAATAAGTGAGAAAAAGAAACACAAACGAATTCGTCAATTTGGGTCGGTCGATCAATAGATAGAATCTAGTCGAAGAAGAAAACTGGTGTCTGGGTTCTACTAAGTTCTAAGTTCGGGATCTAAAAAAGAAGATTCTTGTAACAGCCCAAACCCACTGCCAGGAGATATTGTCTGTTTTAGCTCGTTACGTATCGCTGTTAGTCTCACGATTTTAAAACAAGTCTGCTGGGGAGAGGTTTTTACACCCTTATAAGAAGTGCTTCGTTCTCCTCTCCAACTGATGTGGGATCTCACAATCCACCCCCCCTCCCCTTGGAGGCCCAACGTACTCACTGACACTCGTTCCCTTCTCCAATTGATACGAGACCCCCCAAATCCATTCCTTTCTAGACCCAACGTCCTTATTGGCGCACCATCTCGTGTCCACCCCCATTCGGGACTCAGCTTCTTCACTAACACATCGCCTACTGTCTAGCTTTGATATCATTTGTAACAGCTCAAGCCCACCACTAGTAGATATTGTCCTCTTTGGGCTTTCCCTTTCGGGCTTCTCCTCAAGGTTTTTAAAACGCGTCTACTAGAGAGAGATTTCTATACCCTTATAAAGAATGTTTCGTTCTCCTCTGCAACCGATGTAGGATCTCACACCGCCCATGGCTGAAGTAATCAAGAAATGAGCATCTCAACAAATCTTGCATATTCTTATACGAAAAGAGGTATGAGCTGGAAACTATCTTAATAACCACAGCAACTAAGATTACTCGAAGATTAGAATAGGCATTGGGCAAAACGAAGATCCATTTATCTTGACTACCCTGCAAGCTCGAAGAAGAACAAGTGTGAGATCCCATATTGGTTGGTGAGAGGAACGAAACATTTCTTATAATAATGTGGAAACTTCTCCCTAGTACACGCTTTTTAAAACTGTGAGGCTGACGGTGATATGTAACGGACCAAAACGGATAATATCTACTAGTAGTGAGCTTGGTTATTACAAATGGTATCCGAGTCAGACACTGAACGATATGTCAGCGAGAACGTTGGGCCTCCACCTAATGCAAAATGTAATACAGGGTACACAGTTGCAATATGTTTCATCTCCCCATAGTTCCTCCAAAACTGCCAAAACAACATTAAAGCATGATTGCGAGATCCCATATCAGTTAGAGAGAAGAACAAAGCATTCTTTATAAGGGTGTGGCTTTATGAAGAAACCCAGAAAGGAAAGCCCAAAGAAGACAATATTTACTAGCAGTGGGCTAGGACTGTTACAAATGGTATTAGAGTTAGACACAAGGCGATGAACCAGCGAGAAAGCTGAACCTCGAAGGGGAGTGGATAAGGACGTTGGGCCCCGACGGGGGTGGATTGGAGGGTCTCACATCGATTGGAGAGGGAAACGAGTGCCAACGAGGACTCTGGGCCTTGAAGGGGGGTGAATTGTGAGATCCCACGTCAGTTGGAGAGGAGAACGGAACATTCTTTATAAGGGTGTGAAAACCTCTATCTAATAGACGTGTTTTATAACCTTCAGGGAAATTCTAGAAAGGAAAAGCCTAAAGAGAATAATATCTATTAGCGGTGGGCTAGGAACAGAAGTTGAACATTCAACGGTATAATGATTATGCAGAGCATCAACAAAAGCCAAGAACATTCACCATATGCAAAGCCACAAGACAAAACAGCCCAAGGAAACTGACGACAAACGAAAAACCAAACATCCACGCTAATCCTGTGCCCATTAGCTCATATGTTCTTTCATCCATGGCATTAAATAGTTACCGAATCCTCCAGAAACGAGATGAAAATCTATGAACTGAACTAAACATAACAACACAAGGAACCCACAAGGCCCAAAATTTACTGCTCCTAATGCAGGTAAGTTAGAGGAAACTTGATTCAAATCATGTGGATGCTGACAACTCAAATAGACAAAGATATACCGTACCATAAACTCCAAACAAGAGAAAGGTAAAAAACTTGACAAGCATAGAAGGTGAAATTCATCAACAAACCCCAAGAAAAGTTACCTGGTTGAAGAAAAAGAAAGGGAAAATTTACTGCCAGTTATTTATAGATCATTTTTTCTGGCGTTGTATTAATGGGTTTGTAGATGCTGATAGCATTCCACAAAACCAGTTAAGTGAAAGGAAATCCTTCCCAACATAACTAGAGATATCCTTTCTTCCTAACCAGCTTCAACATGAAAATACAGCACACAGTTCTGATATATAAGTCCTGGAAGCTAATGGTTACTTAGAAGATTAAATAGTTAGGTTCGTAGTAAGCATAAAACTTGTAACGACCCGAGCCCATCACTACCAGATATTGTCCTCTTTAGGCTTTTCCTTTCTGTTAGGGAGAGGTTTCCACACTCTTATAAAGAATGTTTCGTTCTCCTTCCCAACAGATGTGGGATCTCACAATCCACCTCCCTTCGTGGCCCAGCGCTCTGGCTGTCACTTGTTCCTTTCTCCATTCGACATGGGACTCCAATCAAGTTTCCTCTTAAGGTTTTTAGAATGTGTCTACTAGGGAGAGGTTTCTACACCCTTATAAGAATGTTTCGTTCCCCTTCCCAACTGATGTGGGATCTCACAATTCACCCCCTTCGGGGCCTAGCGCCCTTGTTGGCACTTGTTCCTTTCTCCATTCGATGTGGGACCCCCCAAGCCCCAATCCACTCCATTCGGTGCCTAGCATCATTACTGGCACACCGCCTCGTATCCACCCTCCTTCGGAGCTCAGTAAGACAAAATTGAATGTATAGTAATTTTCTACGTATGCCCCAGGCAAGCTCATATATAAACCCCTAGACCTATCCTTCGATTAGAGTACAATCAAGCTGCCGGTATGTCACAAAGGGAAGGGAACACACCGACCGGTGGGCTTAGGCTGTTACAAATGATATCAAAACCAGACACTCACCAATTTGCCCTGAGGTTAATAAGAGTCATGAACTAAGCCCATTGCATTGAGGTAGTGATGCTGCTGCCTCACTCCCAATTTCACCTTCTACTTCCTAGTTCATAGGGCTCTGAAAGGGTTTGATTTACACCACCGTATCTCAACTTTCTATGGTGAACTTCTTTCCTAGAGGTGAGTCAAAAGTAGAAGACTCCAAGAAAAGTAGTACCAAAAGGGTACATGGTTTCAGAAATGGGTGACAAACGTACAAAATTGTCAAACCAACATAGAATCGCTTACAATGGCAATCAGAAAAGCACAAGCAGACAGCCAAGTTAAATGGTCAATGACAAACGAAAGAAAAAGAGAGATTACCGCTGAAGGCCAGGCCGTAACAAGCCACAACGCGTGTCTGAATGGCGGTGTTCGCTTGCTTGGAAAATGGTGCAACACTCCATGATTTGACGAAGAAGAAACCCAATAAACCAGCGGCGACGGTCAAGGACGGGATGATCCCCACCATCAGATTCATCTTATGGGAAAATGATACAAAACAAAGAACTCAGAGCCAACTCTCTGATTTTGATTTGTTTTTCCCATTTTGGGTTTCCCACCAAATCATCAGATTCAACCAAAACATAATCTGTTCTTGTTCAACTTCTTCCCATTTACCCGACAGGATTCAGAGGTTCAATCGCCTAAACGGAATAGAATTCCATTTTAATCTTGAATGGATCCTCCTTTCGATGCGTTTATTGGATGGGAAAGGGATTTGAATCGTTCGAATGGGTGCTGTGACTATAGTAGAATTGGTTGTTTTATTTGCCCTTCACCGCTAATTACAAAAAAAAAAGTTAATTAAACAGCCCATTTTGATTGATTTTTAATTAGTTTCTAAGATACATCACTTAATCTTGTAGAACAAACAAAACCCACAAATTTTAATTGCTTTCCTTGCTTTTTAGATCATAATCAATTGATGGGTAGTTCTTAAAATGAAAACTTTACTGTATTTTCTTATCTTTTCATTGATATAAAGACCTTTGTATGTTAATCAATTTCTTTAGGTTAATTAACTTCTTAATTTGAACGACTAATCTACATTTTAATTGGTTTTTAATTTGGGGGGAGGGGTTGGGGGTTTGCGGGAAAACAACAAAGCAAAGGGCCGGTATTATTTTCCGTCATTCTCTTCTTCCTGTTTGGATCCGATTTTCCGGGAAAATTTCCAAGAATCCTCTCTGATCAGCGAAAAGCGATGAAGGGTTCGTTTCTAATTTGCCTTTCGTTCAACGTGAGTTCATTCCCTTCGACATTGCTTTGATACATAATTTTCTCGAAGGGACCATCGCTATTTACTACTGTACTGTGCATAGGAATAGGAGCCCCAAGCTATAATCTGAGTATACAGTGTTGATAGTTAACAAACTTTAGGGTAAAGTTTAAGTGATGAAAGTAGAAGGAATAGTGATGTCAAGATAAAGATTGCTTGCTCGAACAGTTGCCTGACTAGCAATCTTCGCTTGAAGTTAAAGGTTACAGTAATGAAGTAAGAAAATTATCCTGTTCTTTTGCCCCCTTTCCTGTTATGGGGAAGTATGTGATTATCTGGCTTTACAGAGTTCATACTTTTCATGATATTGGCATCTCTTTCTTTGGTACTTCTTCATAAAGAATTTAGTTCTCTCTCTCTCTTTCTAGCTGAATTTGTTCGTGTTATAATGAACTGAAATGGAAGTAAACCCGGTAACTTAGTCCACCGCTAGCTGATATTGTCCTCTTTGGGCTTCCCCTTAAGGTTTTAAAACATGTCTACTAGGGAGAGGTTTCCACACTTTTATAAGAAATCTTTCGTTCTCCTCTCCAACCAACGTGGGATCTCACACGTTTGCTCAGCTGTTTGTCATCTACTCGAACATAGCTCACTCCCAATGCATATGGTCTATCCGCTTCCATTTCTGCCCACATAGGCAGCGGATTAACGAAACGAGCCTAGGAGGGCCACGCCACCATTAAACACGGAACTCGGCTGGCCCCAGTGCAATGTCTTTTTGGGATCTCAAATCTCTGGCCCAGTTCAAGCTTCAAGTGTCTTCCTGTTGCTTCTACTCATCTTTCCCACAGTATGTCATGTAGTTATTTTTCCCTTTTCCTTTTCCTTTTCCTCTATCTTAGTCAATTGCAGGTTCAAATGTGTCCTGCATGTGAGATGCTGAGTTACCTGTAATGAAATGAAGCATGTTGTATATCACAAATGTTTATACAAAGAACCTAGATGCTATATGGTGCTTGTGAATAGCAAAGAGATAACAATAAAATTGCAAGGAGGCAAGAAGGACAAGATAAGGTCGTTAAGTGTCAGTAAACCTACACCTTTGGTTTCTTCAAGTACAGACCCAAGCAAGAATTTAGGGAGAAAGAAACACTCTAAAGAAAGGATAAGCAATATGTGATGATAGTTGTTTCAAATGCTAGTGAACGTTAAGCTGAAGGTGAAGTGTAGAGTATAGGTATAGACCCATTTGGAGAGAAATGACCAGGGACTTTCATTTTTCAACTTAAAACTTGAATTAGGAGGGAAAATTTGCCCATGAATGTATCCAAATCATATACAATTCAACCGCTGAAGTAGTCAGAATAGACTTATAGTCACTACCCTCTGCTGCTGAGGGAACTATGACAGTGTTGTCATCATCAGTTCTAACTTGTGATGCATTCGCGTTTGCCTTAGTACTTCAACTCATGAACCTGCCTTTGTTACGTGAAATTTATCACCTAACTTCACTAGATCGGATTTGTGAGATCCCACGGCGGTTGGGGAGGAGAATGAAGCATTCTTTGTAAGGGTGTGGAAACCTTTCCCTAACAGACGTGTTTTAAAATCTTGTGGGGAAGCCTGATAGGGAAAGCCAAAAGAGAACAATATCTACTAGCGGTGGGCTTGGGCTGTTACTAATGGTATCAAAGCTAGACACTGGGTGATATGATAGCAAGGACATTGGGCCTATTGGAAAAGGGAAGGAGTGCTAGCGAGGATGCTAGGCCTTGAAGGGGGGTGGAGTGTGAGATCCTACATCAGTTTGGGAGGAAAACGAAACATTCTTTATAAGGGTGTGGAAACCTCTCCTTAATATGCGTGTTTTAAAAACCTTGAGGGGAAACCCGAAAGGAAAAGCCTAAAGAGGACGATATTTGCTAGTGATGGACTTGGGCTGTTAACACGATATCTTATAGAAGCTGCAAACTACTCTCTCTTATTCTGTATAAAATGATTCTCCAACCACTTCACGAACAATTTTGTTTCTGTGTAACACAGCCAAGTATATTAATAGATTATGTGTTCATCTTCCATTGGGAAATGGGAAATGGGAAATTCCCCAATTTCTAGATTTCCACGCGGAATCACATGTCCAAGCCCTGATCATGCATGGATCCAGCTACAAACCATACCCCACCAAATGACTCACATTTTACACAGTTTTGCATTTGTTTTAGAGTGGATGCCTTGTCTGCTGCTCTCCATATGAGGCAACTCATTTTGTTTCATAGTAACTTGTTGCTTAGCTGAAAATAAGGATGCTAACTTCCCCGCTTATATCTCATTGGTAGATTTTGATGGCAGGTTGGAAAGGACATGTTCATATGTCTTTAATGGTAACTTCTAGGATGAAGAAGAAGCTATGCTTTTGTAGGTTGTCATATTTGGAAACCTGCTGAGAATTCACTTTCTACTCTGAATTCATTGATTTTTTTTTTTAAACAATGGCGAAGTAAGCCAATGGAACTAGTCATCCCGCTCGTTTACTTCGAATCGAAGAGTCGGGAAAAAAAATGACTGCCACATTGATACCAACTTAACTGGCTTTTATTAGAAGGAAGTCACTTCTTTATTTCTCATCCATAAACAAGAATATAAGAGACATATCGGAACCATCCCCAAATCGCAGGAACTAGCATTAAACATATACAATCAATCTGAGAAATCCAGTTAGATAGACACTTCCAGCCATGAGTTCATATGGAGGTGATTGAGTAAACTTCTTACCTAATGGAAGGATTGTACTTCATTTTGAATTATTTACCTTATGTCGGCCCGAGTACGAGTAAGGTAGACAAAAGATTGTCCCATCTTGATTTGATCTTTAGATTATGATGGAGAAACATATCCTTCAATTATTAAACTGCTATATGTAGTCGATAAGAGAGCTTACGTTCAAATGCTAAATCTAGGAACTCGAATCTGGAGTAGACCAATCAAAGCTGAGCTATGTCATTATCTTAACAAACTATCATGTGAACTTTTACATGAATATGTTGGCTTCATTGGTAAGTTGAAAGGATCGAATAAACGGTATCGAGTCATGATTGAAAATCATGGCTTTAGTTCAACAGCCTGATGTATATCATTAGGTGAGTTTAAAGTTCTAATCAGTAGAATTTTCTTGGTAGGATAGAATGAATGGCTCGGTCCATGCATCTTCAGCTGTCATATAGTTAAGCCTCAAGTGTATAATGTTTATGTAGACGAAGTGATCCCCGGTAGATAACCACTGACTCGATCATGCAACGTTTGAAGGATACTCGAGCAGATAACGATTAGGATGAAAACATACCCATTTGGGGCCCTTATATATCCATTATCATAACCATTTGTGCTAATCATCTCTGCAGCCAAGGATATCAAACAAGCAATTATCTAGAATGCACATTGTAGGCTTTCCATCTAAAGCACTTTTTGTGATATAAGCAATTATGAGATTCTATCAACCTTTATAGTTCAAATTTGTTCGAAAAATATGTGCGTATCTATTCTCTCTTTTTCAGTATGTCCGTGGCGGATAACTACATATTCAACAGTGTACCTGTGCAACCTAATCTCGGCACGTATGCAAATTCATCACGCTATAACCTTCAACTTGGAGGAGGACTCGAACAACTCTCCTGTTTGCGCACATGATTTGATGTTGAAAAGAATTGCCAACCAAAAGTTTTGTAACTTTCTATATGTTTTCTTTGCTCATTCTTTTGAGACCATTCTAGGAATCCACTGAATTCCAACTCATTAACAGTTAAAAGGGAAATTTAATCTGCATTTTTCTTCTCCTCTTGGATATTTATCTGTTAACTTATATTTTCCTCAAATATCTAAACGTCACAGATGTCCTCTATTTATGTCTCCGATGACAAGCTAAACGACTCGATATCAAGCTCCTGAAGAGTGCTCGAAAAATGAAGGTAAGTGAAGAGTCCTTACACACTTAAAGATTCATACCCTTTATCATTCTATCCTTCATTGTTGCTTTTCATTGTTGCAGTTGTTAGGATGGATTCACAACAAGTTTTGGCACGGTGGAGTCGAGTTGGTCAAGGATTTCGCAATTGGTATTTTCACGAACTCTCACCTTTGCACTTTTATTTCGAGTTATAGTATATATCTCAACAAGAAAAATGAGCTGATCATAGTACATCATTGATGATTAAGATGTAAACTTCGAGTTTTGTTGTCGGGGTTTATCCGGTTGGCGTGGTTTGATATCGTACACCATGATTTGTAGTATACTGGTTGAAACTTCTTAAATTAGGGAACAATTGTCCGCACACGAACAAGGTCACGCTCACACGATCACAATTATAACGTTTCGCAATTTCTACAACATTTCGTACCGTTGTAATCAGTCTAGTTGAAGCGGAAACGTGACAGTTTCATTTTCTCTTCACCAGTTGGGACCACCTGGGAACCTGTAGAGACCTCTCACTCTCAAGCTTCTTACTCCTTTACTGTTAAAACTTCTGAATTACATCACTATTAGTTTTGTCCACTGTGTCTTTTAGAAGTAGAACAGAAACAGGAAAAGGACATTCAAGGTGCACTGTCGCACAAAAGGGGAATTTGTTACTATTTATTAAAAAGAATATAAGAAATCTTGGTTTACTCCTAACTCTTTTTTCTCTTTCGTTTTAGCAAACCCGTGCATGTGTTTGTCAGTACAAACATCAGTTGATGATGAAGATATCTATTCGAAGCCCGGTCTTGGTAGTAAAACCGTGCAGCTACATAGTCACGAGTACGAACAATCGTCTTTTGGTGTTGAAGTCAATAATGTATTGGAATGTGGGGACTTATCTAACTCATCTGAGTTCTTCCATGGGTTCCTCACTATTGGAACTCTTGGTTCTGAACCCGCAACACCAACGTTCTCCTTGGCTTTCGAAAACATGATCGAGTTGCCAGCTGAAGTGACAGAGGATCACCTAAAACTGATCAATTACGAGTTAGAAAAGTTTCTTGAAGCTGAAACTAAGGAAGACTGTTGTGATCAATCACCTGGGAGGACGAGTCATGCTAGTATTATCACGCTTGCTGGGAAGCATACCGAAGTAACCGAAGATGAAAATGACGGGAAGACTCGAACGTGTCCACTTCAGGGATATCTATTTGGATCTACCATTGAACTTCCAGACAAGATGATAGACATGAGGAAGGAAAAACCTTCATTTGTAGAGCTGTTCCAAGGGACTATAGCAGCAAATGAGAGCTCCAAAGTTAACATTGAGCAAAAGGAGGTATTAGTGAAGCATTCAAATAAATCTGCACTAAGCTTTGTGAAGAAGATCCTTAAGAAACTTTGTACCTCTTCACATGATTCTACCACATATGACTCAGGTGATTCATTTTCAACCAAGAAGAAACTCCAAAAGGTTAGTTTTAATAGCTTTATTGGTTTCTTAGTTTCTTTGTGAAGCGTTCTGAGTTATCGTTTTGATATTCAGGTCTTACGTCGGTTCCATAAAAAAATACACCCCGAAAGCTCGGCTGCTACGGACGAATGTCAAAACTCCCAAAAGTACATGTTCGACAATGCTTCTTTTGATGATAACTTTAATAATGGACGTGTGATGAACGATGCGGAGGATCGAATAACTTATTGTCAGGAATTCGTCTTGAAGGATGAAATCTATTATTGGAAGACCAACTTTGGTTTGCCCCTTTATGGGGTTGATACTAATGTTTCAAGTGCAAACAGAGGCCACTGGATTAAGACAGATGAAGAGTGTAAGTACCCTTTCATATTTGTCTATTAAGCTGATATATTTCATATCAATTACTTAGATTAACCATGTTGGTAAGAGTCTAAGCCCACCGCTAGTAGATACTGTCTTCTTTAGGCTTTTCCTCCAAGTTTTTAAAACACTTTTCCTGGGGACCACCACTAGCAGATACTGTTCTCTTTGGGATTTCCCACCAGCCAAGCCCACTGCTAGCAGATATTGTCCTCTTTAGGCTTTCCCTTTCGGGTTTTCGCTCAAAGCTTCTAAAACCCTTTTACTAGGACCACCACTAGCAGATATTGTCCTCTTTGGGCTTTCCCTTTCGGGCTTCCCCTCAAGGTTTTTAAAATGTGTCTACTAGGGACCACCGCTAGCAGATATTGTCCTCTTTGGCCTTTCCCTTTCGGGCTTCCCTTCAAGGTTTTTAAAATACATCTGTTAGGGAGAGTTTTTCACATCCTTATAAGGAATGTTTTGTTCCGCCATCCAACTGATGTGAGATCTCACAATCCACCCCACTTGGAGGCCCAGCATCCTCGCTGACACATTGCCTGGTATTTGGCTCTGATACCATTTGTAACAGCCCAAGCCTACCGCTAGCAGATATTGTTCTCTTAGGCTTTCCCTTTCAAGCTTCCCTTCAAGGTTTTTAAAACGCATTTTCTAGGGAGAGGTTTCCACACCCTTATACAGAATGTTTCATTCCCCTCTCCAACCGATGTGGGATCTCACAATCCATCCTCCTTGGGTGCCCAGCGTCCTTGCTGGCACATCGTCCAACGTCTAGCTCTGATACCATTTGTAATGGTCCAAGCCCATCGCTAGCAGATATTATCCTCTTTGGACTTTCCCTTTCAGGCTTCCCCTCAAGATTTTTAAAACGCGTCAGCTAGGGAGAGGTTTCTACACCCTTATAGAAAATGTTTCGTTTCTCTCTCCAACCGATGTTGGATCTCACCTTAGCTGTTCTCTCTAATCTCTTTAGCTATGAAATGGAAATGACTGTGATTTCGATGTGATTTCATGATGAACCCATCTGAGTCAGTATTGTTGTTTCCATTATAGACTTGGTGTTAGAGCTGTAGAGGAAGAAGAAGAAGACGATGACTACGAATCCAGAGTCCCTCTACTCTAGCACGAGAATCACAACGGAGTCTTATTATATATATATATATCATCTAGAATAATCTTTTTCGAGTTCTTGAGCGACGACGAAATCATTAATGTACATGTTGGTTTGTGTTTAAGTGTGATAGTTGAACTCTAGTTTGGTTTGATCTTTGTTGTAAGCTCTTTTATAAATGGTATGGATTGTCTGCTTGAGAAACCTTTGAATTCTTGTCACAATCCTTCTGCTCTGTCAAAGTGTTTTGTTTTTTATTAAACAAAACCCTTTTGAATCCATTTTCTGCAACATTTCTCTTCATTTTCGACTCGATATTTGTAATAATACTTAACTTTTCGAGCTTTTTTTATGAATATTTAACCAAATATGTCTATTTCTTAGAATTGTGAACACCGTACTTCTACACAATGTTTGTCTTTGTTAACAAAACATCGAAGAAACTCATAAGTGAACTATTATTCAACTTGTTGACACACGGACAACGTGAGCCTATTGTCTTGGCATCCAAAATGAACTCGAAGTGATGGTCTATGTGGTGCTCGATCTCGTACACTTAGGAACGTAAATTAGTATTTAGCTCGATCTCGTACAATAGTTACATAAGAGTTAATGTCCACACAGTCGAGTTTGGCCTTAGTTGAAGTACACCTCAACGTGGCTGATTTTTCACCTTGCCATAACTGGTCGATGGCTTGCTCAAATTATTAGATCAAATGACACAAATAATAACTATAAAAAAAATAAATTAAAAAAAAAAAGTTTTAAAATTTTTAATTTTGTATATTTAATTTATCAACAATTTATTTTAATTTTTTAAAAATTTAAAGATCAATGATATATAAAATTAAAAAAAAAATTATGATTTATTAACCTAAAATATAATTCTATATTTAAAAAATTTGGTGATTATTGGCACAATTTTTCAAAAAATAAATTAAAATAATTTACCTTTAGGAAGGGTAGAATCGAGAATATAAATAAAGAACTGCCACGTGGAAATAGGTAGGTGTGACGTTTGGGGCTTATTGAAAAAAACAAAAAAAAATGCCATTATATATATATATATATATATATAACTTTTATCCCAACTACCCCTATCTTAAGTGTTTTTTATTAATACAACCAATTAAGTATCGGGTACACGTCAATTATTTTATTATTAATTTTGGATGAAAATCGTTAATATTTTATTTTAAAAATATCCTTTAATTTTTTAAAGTGTTTAAAAAATATTTTTACATTTTTTTAAATTTTTATTAATATCCTAAACTTTTTTAAAAACTCCAAAAATACATTTAAAAGTTAAAAAAATACGTTAATGTCACCGCTACATTTCAAAAATATTCATAAATTTTCAACATTAACATTAGAAAAAGAGATAATCTAAAGTATCAATAGCCTGTTTTCGTCCATATATTAAAGGTAATAACTTTTTTTTAATTTTTTTTTCCTTTTATAATGGTTACGAGTGTTTATGTTACTATTAAATGTTATTATAGAATTAAGTAGGTGCGATGAACGGTATGATTCACTTATTAGAATCTTTGAGATTTCGTGTGAAAATGGTTGATGTAATTACGGGATTAACTTAATATGAAAGAAAAATATTGGAATCAAATGAAAGTTTAAATCTCTTACACCTAAGAGCGAGAGAGAAGAAGAGTTCTTCAAAATTTCTTGGGCTTTCAACGTGATGTAAAAACCCAAGAATCATGAGAATATTTTAACGCAACCAATGATGCACACAACGACACTCCTGTCAATCTTGTGACCAGAGTTCTGTGCCAATTTTCTCTTTAATCCTTCATTGTTCTTATCAGGGTTTCATCGGTTTTCGGATCCGGTACGCTCTTCAATTATTTTCGGTCTTCTTCTCTTCATTTTTCATCGATTAACCGGTTCTTCGATGATCCATATGCAGAGTTCAATTTCTAACCCCGAATCGAAGCTCCATTTGCTTTGTACACATGGAGAGAGCTACCAAGAACGTGCTGCTTTCTTCTAATGGGGATGAGATATCCAAGAATCTGGCTCTACATCTGGCCAAAAGGGGTTGCAGGTTTAGCATTGAGCTTTGATCTTACTGCCTTTTTTTAGATGAAATTTTTGGTTATTGTGTTCTTTCTTTCTTCTGTTTCATTGTTGTGTTTAGATTGGTTTTGTTGGGAAATGAGACTGTTCTTCGTAGAACAAGTAAGGAGATAGTTGAATCCGTAAAAGGTGTCCTGCCGATTGAGGTTGTTGGCTTGGACATGGAAGTAGAGGGAGAGGCGGATTTTAGTGAGGCTGTGAACAGGGCTTGCAGTATTTTGGGCGCTTTGGATGCTTTTATTCATGCTTATTCTTATGATGGTACAGCTTATCTCTAACTCTTTCACCCATTTTCTCTGTTCTCCATGCTTACTCTTACTTGTTTTAGTTTTTCTATTGCTTAGTTCATTGTTAATTCGTCTCTAAACAGAGATTTTAGGCTCTTGTTTGGACATGATTCGATATTTGAATAAAGATTTAGCCTCTTGTGAAGATTGAATAGAGGTTGTAACAAGCCAAGCCCACTGCTAGTAGATATTGTCTGCTTTAGTCCATTACGTATCGCCGTTAGCCTCATGGTTTTAGAACACGTCTACTAGGGAGAGGTTTCCATACCTTTTGTAAGGAATGTTTCATTCCCCTCTTCAACCAATGTAGGATCTCACAATCCACCCGCTTGGGAGCTAGTCTGACTATGATATCATTTGTAATAGCTCAAACCCATTGCTAGTAGATGTTGTTTGCTTTGGTGTGTTACGTATCGTTGTTAACTTCACGGTTTTAAAGCACGTATGCTAGGGAGAAGTTTCCACACTCGAATCGATGTGGGATCTTGCATAGATTTACATTGTCAGTTCTTTGAGAGCTTAGGTTACACTATCTTGACTGGTCTGAATTATCGGTTCATAGTTTGTGGTTAACTCGATGAGTGTTTGGTATCATTAATGCTTGGAAATATAGTCTACAAATGACCATAAGGAGTCCCTTTATGTTAGCTTCATTTGGTTTACTCTTGAAAGAAGTTGGTCCTGAAAGTAAATGGTGAATCAAAAAGCCAAATGTCTTGAAAGTACCCTTTCTTAATGCTGAACTTCTGCAGGTCCCTTCCTTGATTCAATGAAGCACCTTAGAATTACTGTCCTTTTGTCTTCTGTAAACTTCTTCACAATGTTCGTTCAGCTCATAACATGCAATTAAGAGAACTCAAAATGTAACTATTTTAGTGATAAATTGTGAGATCACACGTCAGTTGGAGAGGAGAATGAAGCATTGCTTTTAAGGATGTAGAAACCTCTCCCTACCATACGGGTTTTAAAACCTTGAGGGGAAGCCCGGAAGGGAAAGCCCAAAGACGACAATACCTTCTAGCAGTGAGCTTGAGCTGTTACAAATAGTATCAGAGCCAGACACTGGGCGGGGGTGTGCTAGCGAGGACGCTGGTCCCCTAAGGGGGGTAGATTGTGAGATTCCGGAGAGGAGAACGAATCATTGCTTATAAGGGTGTGGAAACCTCTCTCTACCAAACGCCTTTTAAAACCTTGAGAGGAATCTCGAAAAGGAAAGCCCAAATAGGACAATATCTGCTAGTGGTAAGCTTGAGCTGTTACATAAACTACACTACGGAAGATTGGAAACCATTGGTGTGTATGTTTACCATCCTCAAGTATGGATTGCAGTCTGTCAACCCAGTTAGAGAATGCTTCTTAATGAACTGAGTTTGCTTGTAAATTTAGTGCTATGTGGAACTGTTAGCTTATGTGTTCTTGAAGATATGATGCTTAGCTCCTATACATGATAGTGATAGTTAGAAATTCGGGACGTATAGCTTCTCCGAAAGCTATCATACTGTAAATTATGTTAAACTGCACGACGTTTGAAGCAGGTCCCATACAAGAGGCTCTACATCTATCCGAACACGAATTCATAAAGATTGTTAAGATAAACTTGATGGCTTCATGGTTTCTGCTGAAGGCTGCTTGTCAAAGAATGCGAGACCAGAACTCAGGAGGCTCGGTAATTTTGTTAACCTCCTTGCTTGGTGCTGAGAGGGGACTGTATCCAGGAGGAGCTGCATATGGATCGTGCTTGGCAGGATTACAGCAGTTAGCTCGGGTAAGTAGCTTTGCATTTTGAAACCATGTGAACATGATCTGTTCTTAAAGTTCCTCGTTATGACATGAATTATGGACTTCTGTAGACTTCAGCTTTGGATGTTGGGAAGTATAAGATCAGGGTCAATGCTATAGCCCGTGGACTGCACCTAGATGATGGATACCCTGTGTCAGTGGGAAAGGAGAGAGCAAAGAAGCTGGTTAACGATGCAGCCCCGCTCGAAAGATGGCTCGATGTTAACGATGATTTAGCTTCGACTGTGATCTATCTAATCAGTGACGGGTCGCGGTACATGACTGGAACGACCATATTTGTTGATGGGGCACAGTCGCTTGTGAGGCCACGGATGCGCTCGTATATGTAGTCGTTATGTCTGGTGCACTTGGACATCTTCAGGTCATCAACATTTTGGGTTTCTTTTTTAAATTATGATTAGAAGCATCAATTCAGACAAATATATTATGGTATCATTCTTGTTGACTATTGTCTGTCTTTGTGATGTCCCACGTTGGTTGGGGAGGAGAACAAACCACCATTTATAAGGGTGTGGAAACCTTTCCCTAGCAGATGCGTTTTAAAGCCTTGAGGGGAAGCCCGAAAGGAAAAACCCAAAGAGGACGATATCGGCTAACAGTGGGCTTGGACCCTTACAGTTTTAAGGATGATTCCCTTATTGGATTATGCTTACATGGGTTGGAGGAAGTTTGACTAATCTAGTTGTGAGATCCCGCATCGGTTAGAGAAGGGAACGAAGCATCTTTTATAAGGGTGTGGAAACATCTCCCTAATAGACATGTTTTAAAATCGTGAGGCTGACGGCGATACGTAACGAGCCATAGTAGACAATATCCACTAGCGGTGAGTTTGGGTTGTTACAAATGGTATTAGAACTAGACACCAGGCGGTATGTCAGCGCGCTAGACTCCCAAGGGGGATGGATTGTAAGATCCCACATTGGTTGGAGACGAGAATGAAGCATTCCTTATAAGGGTGTGGAAACCTCTCCCTTGCAGGGGTATGTCAACGCGCTAGGCTCCCAAGGGGGATGTATTGTAAGATCCCACATTGGTTGGAGACGAGAATAAAGCATTCTTTATAAGGGTGTGGAAACCTCTCC